GATAGATAGATAGATAGATAGATAGATAGATAGATAGATAGATAGATGATAGATACTCCGTGGATAAAAGGCAGGAGGCGAAGATGAATAGGTGTGGTAGACAACTACTTGTCTCCCCTTTGGTCCGCCACTGATAGCCTGCACTTCAGAATCCTGTCTGAAAATTATGTAGCCTGCTGTGAGAGAGCGGTTTCTGGCGCTCCTAATAAAGGGAATGTTTTGTTAACTACAAAGGGCTTGTCATGTTTGGGAGCTGGGTCAGAACACTGCAAAGCGGTCGTAAGTCACTTTTGTCAGTGCCGTTGTAAACTTTGAACGGTCACTAAATCAACCGTTGTAAGTTGGGGATTACCTCTATTGTGATCCGTGTTTTCAGCACTGATTTTTATTTTTATTTTCAGATGCTTCTCAGACAGGTGAGGAACACAGTCCAGAAGATGGAAGAAAGAAAGAAAGGAAGGAAGACATTTCAGACTGGAGCAGGTTTCGGAGCTGACGTGTGGGACAATATTCTTTTGGTGCCCTTTTTTTTTTTTTTTGGACATATATGGTTACCTCTGCAAGAACACATCCCTAATAAACATTCAAGAGCTTCAGAGAGCAAATAAAGTAATCTTCAGCAAAGGAAACATGGAACGCTGTCATTTGTGTAGCGAATATCCCTCATTTTACAGGAGCCTGGAAATGCATTTATAAAATCCCCCCTGGAATTATTTTAGGAAATGGAACCTCGTTTGCACTGATGGGAAGCAAACATTCCCCATCTCGGCAATCGGTTTTTAAAATCATCAAATTTTAAAACCGGCACCTCCAAGTTAGCTTACTTTAGTACATGATTGTTATCTCTAGCTACCAGCTGAGTCTTATTTGCTTGATTTCGTTGTTTGAACCACCCAGCATTAGCTTTTTGCTTAAAAGATAAATCAGAGGCAGCAAAATAATAAAACCCAATTTTGTTTCTGTTGTCTTGCAGATTTCCTTTTGTGTAAGCATCCTTCCTCAAAGCCCACTTTTTTAGCCATTCATGAAATGGTCAATTCGTCCTTTTATATCATTCTGAATGTTTCATCAAAGGAAGGAAGGAAGGAGCAGAGAGGAAGGAAGGAAGGAAGGAGATATAAAGAAAGAAGGAAAGAAAGAAAGAAAAGAGACAGAAAGAAAGAACGAAACAAAGAGAAAGAAAGGAGACAAAAAGAAAACAAGAAAAAGAAAGATGTGCAAAGAAAGAAAAATAAAGACAAAAAGAGCACAAAGAAAAAAGAAAGTAAAAGAAAGGGAAGGAAGGAAGGAAGATAACAGATGAAAGAATGGGAGGAAGAAAGATAACAAATAGAAGAATGGGAGGGAGAAAAGGAAGGAAGGAAGGAAGGAAGGAAGGAAGGAAGGAAGGAAGGAAGGAATTCCTGTAAATTCTACATGTAGTTTTCTTCTTAAGAAGTGAGATGTGGCTATTATAATTTTCTCCTGGGACTATTATTATTATTTTGATTTTCCAATCTAGTCTTCGTTTCTGGACTTCCATAATAAACTGCATCCAAGATAAAATAGAACCCAGGTTAACTCTTTATGATAAATCACGATCTAGCATGAACTGCCATTTTGCTAAGCAATATGCGTATATTAACATACATAAGCAATTTCAAAAATTCTTTCCAGAACAGTGGCATGCTCATGATACCTCCTAGAGTATGCCATTTTCTATTCTTGAGACCTCAATCCCATAATAATCCATTTCTATTTCCTCCCCAAGCCGCAGATTTAATGTTCTGCCACGATGGGAATTTAGCATTTTAAGTGTTTTGAGGAACTCATTGCAGGTTTATTGGGGATCGTTGGGGAAAGAACCATATGGCTGTGCATTTTCGCTGAAGCAACTGGTTCATTTTCTGCATAGCAATGTAATAATACAGAATAATAATTGGCACGGCAAGATAGACTTCCCTGATGGCTTCTCTGTGGACATTAAGCCAGGACCTAGAGGTGCTGAGGGCAGAGATGTCAGTAACCACTGACATCAACAGCCAGAAACCACTCAAAGCTAAGCATCTCTTGAAATGTGGGGAAAGACAGGACATGAAAGCCATAGTTGAATTGTGAGTAGGAAAGAGTATTCCACTTGCACACTGAAAGAGAAGAAGTCAATCCCGATGTCAACTAAAAAATACTTCTTTGGTCTTTTTAGTTGCCAGCAGTAAGGAAGTGGGGGAAAATAGTGCATTCCTCAAATGCTTCAGATAATTGGTAGGCAGCTGAAGCTGTTGGCGCGCAAGATTATTACTGGAGAGCATGATTGATGACTCTTGGCTATGGATGTGTCCCATTGGAGAATATACATCCAGGGGTTGGATGACCAGGGTCAAGGGGGAAATGAATGATGTATATTAGTGTCGGCTGCACCCAGGTAACACCGACATGACCACTTCTAATAAATCATTGTTATTTTTTTACTCTGAGAGATATAGCTAGAGACTTATGATTTGAATGGGGGTGGATTTGTCGGAGCCCTGACAGCCAGCCGACACTCCAAAAATTCATCATTCCGGGATACCTGACCCCTGGCCTCTTCAATTGCTTCCCGACATCTGGAATGCATGGAGAGAAAGTCAGGTTGACGTGACAGAAGGGGGGCCGTCAGAAGAAACCCTACTGGAAGCAGCCCAGCTACAAAGAGAAACTGAGGGTGTAATCACAGGTGAAGCCGAGAGGCCTGAACAAATAAAGGAAACAAAAAACCCCACAGCTTCGGAAAGCGAGCTCCCCCAACCAAAAAAGGGAGGAAGTGGGGCCCTCCCTGGGCTCCCGAGGTTTTTCTAGAGCCTCCGGGAGGGTGAAAACAGCCTCCAGGGGCTCTGTGGAGGCTGGAAATGGGCCTGTTTCCAGCCTTCTGGAGCCTCTGGGTGGCCTGTTTTTTACCCTCCCCGATTTTCCATGCGAGCCCTGCCCTTACCTGAGATCCAAAACAGGCCACGTGGAGACTGCTGGGAGGGGAGGGGAATGGTGGGCAGGGCCAGCCAGTCATTGCAACTACCGCTTCCGCAAACCAGATGTAAAATTAACAACCAGTTCACCTGAACTAGTGCAAACCAGTCGCAGCCCAACCGTCTGCATCCGTCTAAGATTGCAATTAGTAGAACATGCAGGATCAAAAAAGGTTAGTTGATCCAGCCAAGTAATCACTAGAGATACAGTTAGGGTCAAGGGTTCAACTCCACCATTTTCGTTGCAGTCCACCACTCAACCTTCTCGAGAACTTCCCCAATCTTCCCTTTCTTCTGACGTATTAGACAGACACCTTTCTTAGTTTTGTGTCTTCTGCAGTTGAGATGTGTCCTTCAGCTCTTGAGACCGAGTGGTGAAGCTTTTTACACATTAACATAGTTCCCACCCAAGGAGGAGATCTTACACCATTTGTGACAGTTGGCAGTCCAATCTCTTCTTGAAAGCTTCCAGTGATGAAGCTCCCACAACTTCCAAAGGCAACTTCTGTTCCATCGGTTGATTGTTCTCACTGTCAGAAAGTCTTTCCTTATTTCCAGGTTGAATCTCTCCTTGTTCAGTTTCCATCTATCATTCCTTGTCTGGCCTTCCGGTGCCTTGGAAAATAGCTTTTATGGGATATGTTTTACTACTGATATATGAAAATTGTTTTACAACAATGAGGAACTACTAAAATGTTCCTGACATCAATTCTCTCTCTCTGTCCCTGTCTCTCTTTCTCTCTGTGTGTGTGTGTGTGTGTGTGTGTGTGTGTGTCTCTGTCTGTCACTCTCTCTCTCTCTCGTAGCAAGTGCCCACTTACTTGCTCCACATATGCTCCACATATGACCACTTTTTGCGACCTTCTGACGAGCAAAGTCAATGGGGTATTCAGATTCACTTAACAACCGGGTGTATAACTTATCTACTGCAGTGATTCACTTAACAACTGTAGCAAGAAAGATTGTAAGATAGGGCAAAGCTCACTTAGCAAATGTCTTACTTAATCACAGAAATGTCAGGCTCAATTGTGGTCGTAAATCAAGGACTACCTGTAATCCATTTGCGGGCCTTCTCCAATACAGATGTCTACTGATTCTCAGCTCTTCCTCTTGTTGAAGATGGAGAGGACATTTGCCTCCCATGGAGGGAAGTAAGCAGTGGGGTGCCACAAGGTTCTGTCTTAGGCCCAGTACTCTTCAATGTCTTCACTAACGATTTAGATGAGGGAATAGAAGGGGAACTTACCAAATTTGCAGATGATACTAAGCTGGCAGAAATAGCTAACACCCAAGAAGATAGGTTCAAGATCCAGATGGATCTTGACAGACTAGAACACTGGGCCATATCTAACAAAATCAAATTCAATGCAGAGAAAAGGAAAGTCCTACACTTAGGCAAGAAAAACCAAAAGTACACATATAGACTGGGTGAAAACAGGCTCAATAGTAGTAACTGTGAGAGGGATCTTGGAGTCTTAGTGGACAATTAGCTAAATATGAGCCAGCAGTGTGCAGCAGCAGCCAAAAAAGCCAATGCAATCCTAAGTTGCATTAACAGAGGGATACAGTCAAGATCAAGGGAAGTACTAATACCACTCTATAAAGTCTTAGTAAGACCACACCTAGAGTACTGCATCCAGTTTTGGTCACCACATTATAAAAAAGATGTTGAGGCTCTAGAAAAAGTACAGAGAAGAGCAACCAGGATGATTAGGGGACTGGAGGCTAAAACATACAACAAACGGTTGCAGGAACTGGGCTTGGCTAGTCTAGTAAAGAGAAGGACCAGGGGAGAGATGATAGCGGTCTTCCAATATTTGAGGGGCTGTCACAGGGAGGAAGGGGTCAAGCTATTTTCTAAAGCACCTGTAGGCCAGACAAGGAATAATGGATGGAAACTGAACAAGGAGAGATTCAACCTGGAAATAAGGAGAAACTTTCTGACAGTGAGAACAATCAACCAATGGAACAGCTTGCCCTTGGAAGTTGTGGGAGCGCCATCTCTTGAGACTTTCAAGAAGAGATTGGACTGCCATTTGTCAGAAATGGTGTAGGGTCTCCCGCTTGGGTGGGGGGTTGGACTAGATGACCTACAAGGTCCCTTCCAACTCTGATTATCTGTTATCTGTTATCCTCTAGTCTTCTGGGACCTCACCAGACCTTCTGTCAGATGGTGCTCCATTCAAAATCCAAGAAAGAAATACTTAGACTCCATTAATTAGAGAAAAGATATCTTTTACTGGAAGTCAAGTGGTAGCAACAAAAGAATTCTGAATCTGAGAAAATGAGCATGTAAATCACATATACAAAGTGATGGCAACGTTCCCACCTCCAATAGTTCAATTGGCTTATCCAATTAAAAGTTGTGTATAGCATCATGTGGGCATCTCTAGGTGGTGATGAGGCCTCTGTCCATTGACCTTGACATATTTTGATAAAGAGTTGCGGCTGCGCATAGCATAGGATAGAAGCCTAAGCAAGAATGTAACCCCGCCAAGTTATACAGTTCTGGTTTGTAACACCTCTAGCTTGCTTCCCATAACCATGTCCCCCCTCCTCCCCCTGTTACTTATGACAGCCGAAAGATGCAAAGCAAAGGAAGAAAATCTTGAAGGCTGACATTCGGCCCTCCTGCAAAAGAGGCGTTAGTCCTATAAAAGATAAAATAGAAGATAACAGAAAATATACATGTAACACCATAATACTATATTTTAGGGTTTATCAGGATATTTAGTACGAAATGCCTTGACAAGCTTAGGAGCTCTAACATCCTTCTCATTCACCCATTCAGACTGAGAAGGAGGAAAATATTTCCAAACAACCAAATATTGGAGTTGACCCCTTTGTTTTCAAGAATCCAAAATTTCTTTAACTTCAAAATGTTGTTCACCTTCAATTAGCAAAGGCACGGGGGGGGGGGGGCCGACGGGGGCGGGTGTAAGGCCAGGGGTATGTTCGGGTTTTAATAAACTAACATGGAAGACAGGGTGGATCCGTCAGAGGGTTTTAGGTAATTTCAGTTGGACTGCCACAGGGTTCACAATTCATTCAATTGGGAAAGGTCCAACATACTTAGGTCCAAGCTTTTTTTACTTTTGTGTGG